GGAGCCCGATGCGGGGCTCGATCCCAGGACCCTGGGATCATGACCTGAGCCGAAGGCAGACGCTTAACGACTGAGCCACCCAGGCGCCCCTCACACTATATACTCTTGATTGCTCTTTTTCCTAAACTTGTTCCCCTCCTAGTCGTCCCCAGTGAGTAAATCCACATCTCTCCATTGGTACTGCTGCTCCCTGAGTCCAAGTATCCATCATCTTTCTTTCCTGAAACTCACTCCTCTTGGTTTCTGTTGGACATCTTTATAGTCACTTTTTCCATACAGTAAATATGGTTGATCTCTTAAAAAGCATAGAATCAGATAATATTACTCTTCTTAAAACCCTCCTTTGGGCTTGGAATAAAATCTGAATTTATTGCCACCACCTGCAAGGCTCTTTGAGATCTGTCCCTTGGCTTCGCCCTTGTCCTGATCTTTTGCTGTTCTCTCCCTCGTTCACTCTGCTCTAGCTGCATCGCCCAGACATATCAAGATTTCTTCCCCCAGATATATCAGACTTGTTCCTGCCTTCACGCCTTTGCACCAGCTGTTTCCTCTGCCTGGAGTGCTCTGGCCCAGCACTCGCCCTGGTAGGCCCCTTGGTGATAGTTACGCAGGTTTCGGATTTCACCTCCTCCCAGGGAGGTCTTCCCCAGTCTTCCAGTGCCCTGTAGCTCCTTTTCACTGCGACACTGTTTTATTTTCTTCAGAACATTTAACAGTCTTGAACCATCTTTATACCTTTGTCTCTTGTTTATCGCTTCTTTTTCCCTTGTCAGAATTTAAGTTCCTTGGAAGGGTAAATCTTGTTTGTCTTGTCCATGTTGTATTCCTAACACATACAACAATGCTCAGTAAATCTTTATACCTAAGTGAAAAAAAAATCAGTGAGCGAATCACTCAGATGAAGAAATGTACTTTTTAACACCCTAGGGTGGCTGGAACCAGCTGTTCACGGGAGGTCGGGAGGACGGGAGGAAGGTGAAGGGGCAGAGCATAAAGCACCTTTTAGTCCTCGTTAAAGCATAAAGTAAAGAATACAAAATGTAGCCCAACAGTGAATGTCACAACTGATTTCACAATTGAAAAAGAACAAGTTATTCAAACAAACTAGAATCAGATTAATCCTGAGGATTTCCTGTTCTATTAATAACTTCAGTTGCTAAGCTGTGTAAGATAGGGAGATAATTTGATCTTCACGCCCAAAGGAGATGCTTGATTGTGAATGGTGTTTATTTTTTATTAAAAAAATTTTTTTAAAACATTGTTCTTTGAATATATATGAGAAAAAATTCTTAGTGTTTCTTGTAGGTCATTTCTGTCATTAGATCATACTTTATATTTTGTAATGCTTTAATTTATGTATTTTCCATAATTGTTTTCAAATAACTGCCATGCTATGGGCTAGGAAAGATTGTATTATAAGGGAAATATTTTAGTACCTTTAATAAAATGTGCCCCAAAGAATTTTTTATATTGAACAGTAAAGGAGAATGTGTTCATAAAACCTATAAGAAATTGAAATAGGTTACTCTACAATTACTAGTGCAACTTTGTTGTTTAGTTTGTCAACTGGTGTTTTTTATTGTCCCCTAAAGATAAGAGGAATAATCAACCTAGTGATTTATGTTAAATACATCTGAGTTAAACTTTCCATCTGGTTCTTTTCTTTTTCATGTTCAGATAGTTTTGGGTAAAGTGATGGTAAAACTAATATGAGATCTCAGTTAGTTTTTTTAGAGTCCCCATTTTTTTCCTGAGAGACAAGAGTGCGCACATGTGCGTGCAGGTGCATGAGTGGGGAGAGGGGCAGAGGGAGAGGGAAAGGGAGAATCGCAGGCGGACTCTGCACTGAGCACGGAGCCCCACACGGAGCCCCCCCACAACCCAGAGATCAAGACCTGACCCAGAAGTCAGACACTTCTATCCAGGCATCCCTTAGAGTCAACATTTCTTAAATTTATTTTCAAATGACTATTGCCTTCAAAGTGGCCATCTAGGGAAGTAGTACATTTATTCTAACAATGCTTCCATTCCTTAAAATACCCTTTTCAGAGATGCCTCATAGTCAGTATTGGAATTATGAAAGAAATTTAGCATTTTTTGCTTTACTTTATAATTGCAAAACCTCGTGTTTTAAAACTAAATGAAGACTTATAAATTCCTCTATTGACTTCATATTAATATTATATTAATTTATGAAGCCAATACTGCTGTTATGCAGTTGAAGTTATGACTTGTGAGATCATGAAAGAGATCTTTTAAACTATATCTGTGTAAAGAACAAAGAACATTGTATAACTTTGTGAAGTAATAGATTGAAAAAAACCAAACCCAGACCTGAGTGACTAATTCACCGTCCTTTTACATTTGCATTTTATCTGAAACTGAGGGCAGTGTAATGTGCTCTGCTGTAGATGGAAGTCATGGGGTGCCAAATCCAGAGGAAGCACCTTACCTTTGGAGGTAAAAAGTGGACTCTTTTTAGTATGAGTGAAAGTTAAGGGTCTGTATTTAAAATCTGTCCATAAAACTACTCTCCTTTTATAATTTTTTTTTAAAGATTTTATTTATTTATTTGAGAGAGAGAATGAGATAGAGAGAGCATGAGAGGGGGGAGGGGCAGAGGGAGAAGCAGACCCCCTGCTGAGCAGGGAGCCCGATGTGGGACTCGATCCCAGGACTCCGGGATCATGACCTGAGCCCAAGGCAGTCGCTTAACCAACTGAGCCACCCAGGCGCCCTCCTTTTATAATTTTTGACGTCAAATACTATAGACCTGTTTTGGACGGTACATCTACATTAAAAGCCAAGATATACTTATTGGAGAGAAGTAGTTGAAGCTTTGTTGGTGTTTGTCCTTAGAAAGCAGATAAGTTTTATTGTGAGATAAATGGATTATTTGTTTTAGGGCAAGTCTTATTGTCTTGGCCTCCATAACCATCAAGGGCTTTTATTTTCTTTATAAGCCAGTGTTTTAATCTTTTATCTATAAGGATCACTTTTTATTTACTTTATTAAATGTCATAAATACGTGGGCTTTTAAAAAAAAATCTTTTCTTCTCTTTCTTTAAAGCTGCACATCATTGACTCCTGGACCCAACTGTGACCGATTTAAACTGCACATACCATATGCTGGAGAGACATTAAAATGTAAGTAAATGACTATTTTATTCAAAGTGTAGATTACAGTGCTAGTTATCAGACTTTGTGCTTCCGTTTTTATTTCCGGCTGTTAGGTGTTAATCACTAGGATTTACCACTTTTTTAAAAGTTTGTCTTTCATTTCTAGTTCTACTCAAAGTAAGGCACTTGGCAGGGAATAAGCTGTGGTCAAATAGGCATACACTGAAATTCTTAATTTTTAGGCCTGGGGGTAATTCGTGTATTTTTTTTTCTCCATTGGCCGATCTTATGTAATACCCCAGTAGAGAGAGTCCACTGCTTTAAAATACCTGGCTATTTAGAAACAACATTTCGGTAGGAATGACTGCTGTGCACCACTCCCGTTAACCCCGCTCTGGAGCCGTTGCTGCCAAGCACTGTTGTGTTGTCGCCGATGTGCGATTGCCACCTGAGCATAAGAGTCCTACCCCAGAGACTCTTGGCGTAGTTCAGGAATGTCAACGGGTTTCCTCTTTTACAGCAAGGGTCAGAAATGCAAATGGCTACTACAGCTGGACTGGTAACAGAAATGGGGCGAGCAGGCTAGGTGTGGCAAATGGGGGCACACCTGCCCTCCTTGAGGGGACTGCCTCTGTTGATTTACTGAGAACAGGTGGAAATCCACATCAGTTTTGGATGCTGACTGCTTTTTCAAAAATCAAAAACATAGTGTGGGCCAACGTAGTGCAGGTCCCACCAAATGTGTGTGGGGTGTGACTGGAAGGGACCACTGGTTTGTGACCTTGATGAAGAGCAGGCAGTACCTACCGTTGGATTCAGTCCACCGTCTACACCGCTTGCCTGGGTGTATCAGCCCTTCTCTGCTGTTACAACCAGTGCTGACGCTCTAGCCCAGCGTGGTAGTAGTGGCGGCTTTGGTCAGTATTGATCTCACCAGGAAGTTTCTTTCTTGAACCGATTCTTGTGGTCAACAGGGTCTTGAAGTCTCTCCATTCTTAAAAAGAGGAATAAAGAACATAAATGTTAAAGAAGGGACAGATGAGAAAATAGTGCCTTTCAGACTGTGGACTATGTATTTTACAATTACAGGCCACCAGGGGCCACATCTTAGTCTTCCATAGAATCACAAATGCAGCATTAAGTGAAAAATGTAGGACGTGCTAACTTGCGAACCTGGCATTATTAGATCATTCTCTGGAAACCATTAAAATACATAAGAATTTCACCTGCCTGAGGTAGTAGGACATTCTAGATTGTGACTGTTTTTGAAAAAATTATTAACTGAATTTAAAAGAAATGATCCAAGTAAATCATCCACATGATTAAAGATGTAAAAAGTTCAGAAATTTTTTACACATGAAAGCAGTAGTCTTCTGTTACGTATCTTCCCAAGTCTAGTCCTGTTTCCCAAGGGAACCACTTAAATTTTGTTGTTCTTGGTTGTTTCAGTATGTAGTTCTTCTGGGGATGATCGCTGTATGTCTAAATGTTTATGCCTCTGTTTCTTGACTTACCAATGTTATCTTTTGACTTCCTGCTCTGATACATGAGGCATCAGCCTATTTTCACCATGCTCTTTATCTTTCTCTTTCCTCCCCTTTAATGTAGTTATTATCACCACAGTTGGTTCCTGTGTTGGTTACCCTGTAGCTTTAACATTTTTCCTTTCTTTTTTTAAGGATCATTTTGAGCATCGTATGGTACAGTTAAATGAACAACCCCCTAGAACGTTCTTAGTAAGTGCCCGGCACACAGCACTGTTGTTATATAAGGACAATCTCTGGGTTAGTATATTTTTATTTAGTTTCCCATGAACCAGAGAGAGTGTCTTTGGGCTCCCCACTTTGTGAGACAAAGATACTAGATCCCGCACTGCCCTCCATTCCTCTTCTTTCACCTCCCAACTTTTGTATTATTTTCCTTTTGCAGTGTCAAAATTTGTAACTTACTGTCTGTTCTAAAGCTAGAGTTATCTTCTGTGCTTTGTTTATAAATTGCTTGAATGAGTGATCTGTGGGCCTACTCCTGTATTGTTATCACTGCGGGGTTTGCCTGTTTTATTCTTTTGGATTCGACCTTGTTTTGTAGAGTCTGTGTATTGAAAGTTCTGTGTTTTGTAGGTTAAAGCATAATTGCTGGAACACAGTCAGATACCTTGCTTAGATTCTATTCCTTCCTCCACTCTTCTACCTTTCCTGGGCCGCTTCTGATGATTTTTATTTACCATAGTCATAATTAGGTATCTTAGTTTCCAAGAGCACTTTCTTGCTCTTGCTCTCTGTTCCTCTTTCACAGCATCTTGTTCTTATTTTATGAATACAGTGTCTTGAAAGCTTTCAAAGAATATAGATTTTTTTTAAGACGTTTTCTTAATTATTTTAATTTTCTCCAGGGATTGTATTTTTGTTTATCATCTTTTTCCTTCTCTGTTATTCTGTAGTCTTTCCTTAAATAAAAGATGGGTTGGGTTGCCTGGGTGGCTCAGTCGTTTAAGCATCTGCTTTCAGCTCAGGTCATGATCCCAGGACTCTGGGATTGAGCCCAATCGTGGGCTCCCTGCTCAGTGGGGAGCCTGCCACTTCCCCTGCTTGTGTTCTCTCTCTGGCTCGCTCTCTCTCAAATAAATAAAATCTTAAAAAAAAAAAAAGATGGGTTTTGGTTGTTTACTTATATTTATGACAGACAATAAAACATTGATAAGACTTCTGTATGGGTGAACTGAGCTTATTGAGTGTGTGGGTTATAGTATGAGGAACCTTTATGTGTCATATTAGGGAGTTCAGCTGTTCTGGTACTCCCTGAAATCATTCTATTTCTTTAGAAAATCCCCTACATTTTTTGGAGAGGCATGCACATCTGGCCACCATGCCATTTTTGGGGGGTAGGTATCATAGACTATTCCCCATGGAACCTTTTGTTAATTTCCCCATTCTTAGCCCCATTTTTCATTCTTCCCTTTCCATACACTGGACGACTACAGTTTTTATGGGTTTGCCAGGACACATGGCTTCCCCCTCATCAGTAGCCTCTAGCTCACTTACTGCAGCCAGAGCTTTCTCTGCCCTGTCTCATCAGTTCCTACTCCCCTATCTGCATTCTGCCTTCTAGGAATTTGTTGAAAATGCTATTCTACTGATTGCTACTCTCTTCCCTTCCTCTTCACTTAATGTTGTTTTGGATTCTTACTTTCTGTTTCATTATCGTTTAATGGAAGGAAGGGTCTTACAAGGGAGAAGAAATAAATGTGTGTGGTTAGTCCACAGTCTTGAGCCAGAAATAATGTAACTTCACAAAGATCTTACTCGCTGTTTGAGTTTGTGTTAGAAAGCATTTACTAGTATTCTGTATCTTCTGATTGCTATACGATTTTCACAGGAAACCTCTTATAACATTGATGATTATGGTATTTGGACAGGCATTCACTATATAAGTTAATTAAGTCCTATTAAGCTACTGCTGAATATAATCATTATATACTAGGGACTTAATTTAAGCCACAGAATGCTCTGGAATAATGGAATGAAAAATGAACTATTGAGGTTCTTCCACATTAAGATGAGTCAAGATTCTAGCATTCTAGCCTTAAATAGCCAACCGCCAAATAAAAGGAAAAAACAATTGATTATACACTATTTCTATAAAAGGTCATTGAATTCGAAGAAGGAGTATTTTTTTTTCTTCTGAAATTCTTGACATTATTTAGGAAGGCCTTCTGAAGGATATTGGTCATATGATTAAGTTTAGTGTTAGAATCCCTTGCTTTAAAAAAATTATGCGTTAAACTCTAAAAGTGGTATACTTTGAGGTATCGTAGTGCTTCACCATGGAAGCCAAACTACCAACCTTTTAAAATTTGCAGATAGAAATTGTTTTTTAATAGCTGTTGAAAATGTGATAGAATTGTCAAAAATAAATCAAGTACATGAATTATGAAACACAAGTCACTGTTCTCTGACAGTATAAAAATGGAAGAATTTACATGAAGAAAATCAAAACAAATGCACAAACCTTTTGATATAGTTAAAACTTAAGTGAAGATCAGCAGAACCATCTTTACTGGACTAGTGTTTTGTGAATCTGCCCACATAAATTTGTTCACGTCAGTGATTACATAGTAAGGTTATCTTACTTTCCTTAACTTGTATAATATTTAGGTTATAGTTATTTCAAGTTTCTTTCTTTACAGCTGTACTTATTTTAAAATTATTTCAAAATTAAATCTGTTTCCAGTTTTTAAATAAATGTTTCTGTGAGGAGTTTGTTGAGTCATTATGTGTTGATGGTAGTAGTAATGTAGAATACTTAGGTATTTTATTAACCTCAATAATTAGTATAGGTTTGTTCTGTGTGTGGTTTGAAGTTCATGGAAACAGATAATTTACTATAGCAGCCAAGTTTATTGTAAAAGAATAAATCATCAGGGCAAATCATGAATTTGCAAAGAATTATTTTCCCCTCTTGGAGAACACTAAGATCTTGCATTGCTTTTAAAATAATGTTAGACTCACTCCTTTTTCTTTTTCTTTTTTTAACTCCTTCATTTTACTTTTAGAAAACCTGGGAAAGCCAAACAGTTTTTACATATGTTTTTACTCCATCAATTTTTATAACCTCAAACATATTATATCCAAGATCAGTATGGTCATAGTGGTTAATTATCACAATATTTGTGATTGAATTCCACCTCCTACAACCAATACAATGTTAATCTTTAGATAATTAACTATTATTCTCTGTAACAAATATTTTAACACATGTAGTTTTCTAAAACAAACATACGTAATTGAAAGGTTATATAGTTTGGGGTGTCTGGGTGGCTCAGTCGTTGAGCGTCTGCCTTCGGTTCAGGTCATGATCCCAGGGTCCTGGGATCGAGCCCTGCATCGGGCTCCCTGCTCAGCGGGGAGCCTGCTTCTCCCTCTCCTACTCCCCCTGCTTGTGTTCCTGCTCTTGCTATCTCTCTCTCTGTCAAATAAATAAATAAAATATTAAAAAAAAGAAAGGTCATATAGTTTAATAGTCCTTAG